AATGCTTCAGTTGTGCAGTTCAGCACAGACTCAAACACTGTCCTAATAACGTAACCGGTTGAGACCTCTGGAACACAAAGATGGAATAGAGGCTTTATCGTGTCTCTGTGTCGAGCCACTTTCCTGCAAAGTTCAGTTTCAACACTATTTAGTTGCATCTGAATCAAGTAATCCAAGTATTTGGGTTTACTTGATAATGACAGCCAGGTGTGTTGGAACTAAACTCTGCAGGTATCTCCAGACGCATGAAACAGACCAGAAGATGGTGCTCTCCACTTGTATAATTAACCTACAGCCTTTCCTGTGGCATTTATATGGTTAAAAAGTAAAGTTATGCTAGGTTTTGTCTTTCATCTCAACTCCCTAACAAAGCTGTCAGCACACTTAACAATCAGCAAAATAATAATGTCCAAAACGACGACAATTCAAGTGCTCAACATAATTCCTGAGTGTAGAAGTGTCTAAATTCTTTCTTTCTCTCTTTTTTTTTTTGAAACAACAAATTCTTGAATGTTTTGACTGAAAAGTGTGTTTGTTTATAATATAATATATAAATACAGCTATAATATAATATAGCTATAGGTCAATATGTTTGACGTTCAGTTTACATCAAATCAACATCGTGTCAAGTTTTTGACATCAGCTTGATTTGCATATTTGAACTGTTTTTTGATGTCAATTTGAAGTATTTTGAACAATTATTTGTTAAAGCAGCACTATGTAACTTTTTCTGTGTTCAACGTGTATGTAATGAGCGAGTACATCATGAATTAATCTTCCAAACCGCGTTTTTGTCTTATTCCGATTCACTACGGTACACTTATAATAAGTACTTATATTTGGACTATTGTAGCCTGGTTGGGTCATCGCCGCTTATCTGCGTGAATCGCCATAGACGTAAACTTAGTAATTATTACAATATTTATATTATTTTTATTATTACAATATTTCATTATTACAATAACTGTAATTACTGATAGGTTATGACATTACAAGTTATTATGATGAATTTGCTCTGTTGACGACATAATGACACTATACAATAAAACAGTTCATTTAAAAAATTAAATAAAAACACATTGAGGTGGCCCACAGCTATACCCTGGCTGGGGTTGTTGGTTAATGCCCATTTTAAAACTAAAGGAGGTGAAAAGTCTTATTATTCATGACTTGCCACACCGTTCACTCAGCGTCTCTTAAAGTGCCCTCAACCCCAGAACCAGCTGTTGAGATCTTTGACCACTTTGTAGTGCTTATTCCTTCTAATATGATCACAAATCCGACAGGCATGTTCAAGACCAAATAATGTTTTCGTTGAAACAAAATGTTCTCTCCAGGTGAAGTACTGCTTATACAGGTCCTCGTTTTGGTCCAGGAGTTTCAGATGATCGGCCAGTTCTTTTGGGGATGGAAAGTCATCCACATGGATGAAGGCTTTACTTGGGATGAACAGCTCATAGTTTTCTCTGGACGGGCCAAGAACAACAGGAACGGCACCAAGCGCTAGAGCATTGAACAACTTCTCGGTCACATAGTCTCTATGAATGGAATTCTCAAAAGACAGGTAGAATTTGCAACTGGACACTAAACTGGAATAATCTTTACCATTAATTGGGTTGTTGAAGTGCCTGCCATAAGCTGACACATTAATGAATTTCACTAACTCAGTATAGTATTGTGAACGCTTAAAGCCTGTCTTAAACTTACTCACTACCCAACAAACTAATTTGTCCTTCTCTGGGATAGTATATTTTTTCTCTTCCTCTGTGGTGTCTGTGATCCTACCGTAAGGTACTGGACTATCCGAATCCCCGCGGTAGCTTGAAGTCAGATTAAATAGATCCTTTAGCAAGGGAAGTGGATATGAATTACTTGGAGACTCCATATTCCACCATACCCACTTCTGGAAAGCTGGTCGTGGGAGTTGTGGCATGTTAGATAAATCCCTACGAATATCTCTATGATGAAACATTACCCCATGTGCTTGGTTAAACAGACCTCTGTCATCCGTTAAACGACAGCCATGGATATCGAAAGCCGAACTGCAGGGTCCAAATCCAAAACTGTTGCCAAAAGGCCACATCCAGATCAACAGAATGGTGTCTGGTTCTCCTTTCTCTTTAGATGTTCCTGTCAGATGTTTGATGTTCGCAGTGCACTTGTAGTTCTGCATCTTAAGAACACTGAGGCAAGTTTCTGCGCTGATGTTATTTATCTGGACGTGAGCAGCAGTGGATTTGCTGAACAAGTTTTTGGTTGAGTTGTAGCACATGTAGATTGTAAAACATGCCATCAGAAACATGGCGATTGTAATGTTCTGAGTGGTTGTTGAAATAGTTGTGGGCATTTTGTCCATCACTAATGTAGGGAAAAAGATGTCAAATGGATCAATATTCGGCTTAAAATATGTGACCCTGGATGACAAAACCAGTCATAAGGTTAAATTTTTTGAAATTGAGACTTATACATAAGCTTTCTATTGGTTTGTTAGGATAGGACAATATTTGGCCAAGATACAACTATTTAAAAAATCTGGAATCTGAGGGTGCAAAAAAATCTAAATGTTTAGAAAATCGCCTTTAAAGTTGTCCAAATGAAGTTCTTAGCAATGCATATTACTAATCAAAAATTAAGTTTTGATACATTTACGGTAGGAAATTTACAAAATATCTTCATGGAACATCTTGGGATAAAAGAAAACTCAATAATTTTGACCCATACAACGTATTGTTGGCTATTGCTACTAATATACCCGTGCTACTTGGTTTTGTGGTCCAGGGTCATATTATAAAATGGGCTTTAAAATATAGAAATGATCATCTAGAGTTGTATGGGAAAATATTCAATAACATTTTATTTTACAGAGTCCTTGTTAAATGTTATTACTACAACTAATCCTAAACCAAACCCTAAGCCTATGAGTACTCATTACCCAGTGCTTAAATATATAATTATACTGTAAAAATGTCACCTTAAATGTAAGTCTAATGACATATAAATGTTTGTATAGCTTACAGACAAAATATTTGCAAGATCTTCCTATGCATTTTGTTATATTAAATGAAGGGCTGTTTTTACTGTTCCTCATATGCCTGAATCTCATTTTCCATAGCTTATGTTTTATATCGTAATTGTAAATTTACAGCATTATATATGAGACGTCTGCATCTTTTAATTTAATTAAGGTTCTAAGAGGAAACAGGCATTATGGTTTCAAATGGTTTCTCCTTGTCTCTTTTCTTTCTTGCATCTACTCTCGCGATGCGGTTCTTTCAGTTTTGCTAAGGCTGGTGATACACGCCTTCAGCGAGGCAAAATAAGGGACACCCATTCACAAAAAACCCCACCAAGGACACAAATAATCAGTGAGAACCGCATAGCTCAACAGTAAACCATGAGAAAACATGTTCAAGGAGGCTATGTAAACGTGCAGCAGAACACATTAATATTATTTTAAATTTGATTATTTATAATTATTAATTATTATTAGGTTTTTTTGACAGTTCTGCAGCTGTTCTGGGTGGGATGAATTTTTATTATTTTTTATTCATTTGCCCCATTTTTATCTAAATAATTTAGCTTTTTTTTTTAAACTTTTTAAAATGCCAAATGATTATGTATATATTTATGATTAATATAAATGATAAATTAATAAATAGGGTTTCACATAAAATATGCCTATAATCTATTAATCTGTCTAATAATGTCTACTAAGCTCTGATTATGTATGACATATTATTAACAGACTATCCAAATTTTAATAAAACAACAGGCCTAGAAGCATGGATGTGTCTGCCACTTTAAAGGTATGGTTCACCACAAATATGGAAAATTCTGTCATAATTTACCCAGGTTGTTCTAAACCTGCATTAAGTTCGTTCTTCTGCTGAACACAAAAGAAGATACTTTGAAGAATGTGGGTAACTAAACCGTTTCTGGTCCTCAGTAACTTCCACAGTAGAGAAAAAATACTATCAGAGTCAATGGGGACCAGAAACTGTTTGGTTAGCCACATTCTTCAAAGCATCATCTTTTATGTTTAACAGAAGAAAGAAATTATTACAGGTTTGTAACAACTTGTGGGTGTGTAAACGATGATAACATTTTTGGGTGAACTATCCCTTTAAGTCAGGCAGTCCACTGAAAGCAAACTCTTCATCAGTAAGGTACATTTAGCCTACATTTGAATGCACTGGATGAAAGCTGTATTACATTTTACATTTAGTCATTTAGCAGACGCTTTTATCCAAAGCGACTTACAAATGAGGACAATGGAAGCAAATATATTATTAAACAGATGTCACGTAGTTGAATTACAACGTTTCTGTTTTTGACATTCAAATTTTTCAAAATTCAAAATGTTATAAACCTAAATTTAAAATGACAGCAAGGGTATTTCGCGCCAATTTACATGAATAGTTTGAAAATTATATTCATTTAGTCTCCCCCCTCCCAATGATGTCCAAATAACACGAAATTCAGCTGGCCTTTCGTTTCTCTTTCAATAAAAACACAACTCCGGTCACATGTATACGTTTATGAAACTTTTTCCTATATGCATTTTCCATTTCAACAGAAAAAAATACGTTGACTTACCTCTATTGGACAAGTCGAGAGCATCAAAATGTATTGGACTCAGGTGTGTCCTGAGAATCATTTTTATCTAAATAATTTAGCATTTTTTAAAACTTTTTAAAATGCCAAATGATTATTATGTATATATTTATGATTAATATAAATGATAAATTAATAAATAGGGTTTCACATAAAATATGCCTATAATCTATTAATCTGTCTAATAATGTCTACTAAGCTCTGATTATGTATGACATATTATTAACAGACTATCCAAATTTTAATAAAACAACAGGCCTAGAAGCATGGATGTGTCTGCCACTTTAAAGGTATGGTTCACCACAAATATGGAAAATTCTGTCATAATTTACCCAGGTTGTTCTAAACCTGCATTAAGTTCGTTCTTCTGCTGAACACAAAAGAAGATACTTTGAAGAATGTGGGTAACTAAACCGTTTCGACTTATCAGTAACTTCCACAGTAGAGAAAAAATACTATCAGAGTCAATGGGGACCAGAAACTGTTTGGTTAGCCACATTCTTCAAAGCATCATCTTTTATGTTTAACAGAAGAAAGAAATTATTACAGGTTTGTAACAACTTGTGGGTGTGTAAACGATGATAACATTTTTGGGTGAACTATCCCTTTAAGTCAGGCAGTCCACTGAAAGCAAACTCTTCATCAGTAAGGTACATTTAGCCTACATTTGAATGCACTGGATGAAAGCTGTATTACATTTTACATTTAGTCATTTAGCAGACGCTTTTATCCAAAGCGACTTACAAATGAGGACAATGGAAGCAAATATATTATTAAACAGATGTCACGTAGTTGAATTACAACGTTTCTGTTTTTGACATTCAAATTTTTCAAAATTCAAAATGTTAGTTCTAAACCTGCATTAAGTTCGTTCTTCTGCTGAACACAAAAGAAGAATGTGGGTAACTAAACCGTTTCTGGTCCTCAGTAACTTCCACAGTAGAGAAAAAATACTATCAGAGTCAATGGGGACCAGAAACTGTTTGGTTAGCCACATTCTTCAAAGCATCATCTTTTATGTTTAACAGAAGAAAGAAATTATTACAGGTTTGTAACAACTTGTGGGTGTGTAAACGATGATAACATTTTTGGGTGAACTATCCCTTTAAGTCAGGCAGTCCACTGAAAGCAAACTCTTCATCAGTAAGGTACATTTAGCCTACATTTGAATGCACTGGATGAAAGCTGTATTACATTTTACATTTAGTCATTTAGCAGACGCTTTTATCCAAAGCGACTTACAAATGAGGACAATGGAAGCAAATATATTATTAAACAGATGTCACGTAGTTGAATTACAACGTTTCTGTTTTTGACATTCAAATTTTTCAAAATTCAAAATGTTATAAACCTAAATTTAAAATGACAGCAAGGGTATTTCGCGCCAATTTACATGAATAGTTTGAAAATTATATTCATTTAGTCTCCCCCCTCCCAATGATGTCCAAATAACACGAAATTCAGCTGGCCTTTCGTTTCTCTTTCAATAAAAACACAACTCCGGTCACATGTATACGTTTATGAAACTTTTTCCTATATGCATTTTCCATTTCAACAGAAAAAAATACGTTGACTTACCTCTATTGGACAAGTCGAGAGCATCAAAATGTATTGGACTCAGGTGTGTCCTGAGAATCCTTTTACAGTTCATGTTTGACGCACTTGTCGGGTGAGGCGCTGATGATGACGCTTTACATATTTTGCATAAGATGTTTGGATATTAACATGTGTTGATCAGTGCCTACTGATACGGTCATGACGGATGTTCTTTTTTTTTTAAACGTCCGAATAAAACACTTGCATCTTTAGTAAAGACGATGTGCTCCCCAGTCTAAATTACATTCATGCATTCAGCAGACGCTTTTATTTATTCAGTGACATACAAATGAGGAACATCACAAGCAATCTGTAGTAGAGCCAACAAATTGCATGGTATAGGTGAGGTAAAAATTAGTCTTGTAAATAAGCCAAGTAATGTAGGCCTAGACGAATGTAGAAGAGTAGGGCTGTTCGATTCCAATTCCTGGTTCTGGAATTGAACTGAAAAAGGCTCTGAATGAGGAGTCGATTCCCCTTGATGGAATCGATTCCAACCTTTGGAATCGACTCGATGCCCAATGCCTCGGGATTGATTCTTTTTGGAATCGATTCCAGCCCTATAGAAGAGTAGCCTAATGTACCAGTTGTTCTTACTCAACGCTTTTATTTTACACATTAAAATATAAAGTTTAAAAAAAGCACGGTTGGTTTCACAAACCTCTTATGAAAAACCTAAGGCATAACTTCATATAATTATAACCTCTTGTCAGTTACTGAATTATTGCACAGTTTGTGCTTTTTGTTCTATTCTTTTGCTCTCTTGAACCAATTAAGCGCGCACCACCCATTGTTAACACCGCATTTTTGGAATATTTCCTTTGTAACAAATCTAATCAGAGCTTCTCCCTGTAAGCGTTTGCGCTGTGTGTACGTGTGCAACCATGCTCTAAGGTGTGTCTAAAAGGCTCTGACATAGCCTAGCCCAGTGAATCTCAACCTTTTGGCGTACCGGACCCCAGTCCAATTCAGAACCATCCTCAAGGACCCCCAGAACTGGCTCATCTATGTATCCTTTGTGTCTTTGTGAGGACCAAATGCAGTCTAATGTATAATTCAAGTTAGGTAACTTGTCCAGTATTTGGCCATATCGTCAGCTATATTGGATTTTTCTTTCATGGGAACATGTCATGTCAAAATTTACAAAATGTATACAAAACTTCATACGGACCCCCTGGCCTTATGTCAAGGACCACTAGGTGTTGAGAAACACTGGCCTAGCCTACCTTATTTGTTACAAATGGCGGGAGCAGCCAACTGTAACTATGTCAAGTGTCGTCCACTTCAGTTATTTTAGCTATACAAATCATTTCATTATGCCGCTTAATACTGCAAACTAGTATTTGATATCAAATCATTTTAATGTATTATCAATCATAAACACTGATTTGTATCGCAAGTAGTTTTACCTTTACTGCACTGTTATTCTTAGTTATTTAGCGCATTCACGGAAAATAAGGCGGTCACTTAATTGTTGTAGGTTTTTTCTCCACTATTCACTGAAACAACATGTACTGAACCAACAAGTTCCTGCTATAAATAAATACCATTACAAACGGTTAACTATTAAAATTATTACCAGTAGTATGTTTTGGGCCATATTCCATTAGGACTCAGTAGTTTTAAAGGGGTCATATGATGCGATTTCAAGTTTTCCTTTCTCTTTGTAGTGTTACAAGCTGATTGTGCATAGATAAGATCCCTGAAGTTGCAAAGACTAAAGTCTCAAATCCAAAGAGATATTCTTTATCAAAGTTAAGACTCTGCCACGCCCCCCTAAAACGGCTCGTTCAAACACGCCCCCACATATCTACCTCACTATGTGGGAATATTTGCATAATGCCGCCCAAATGTGCACGCAAAGAAAGAAGGCGTGGTTTCAGTAACTGCAGTTAGTGTTGAAGCAGCATGTCAGGGAGACGCTGTGTGTTTCTAGGCGAAAGCAAAAGCACTTTATTTGGCCTTCCGAAAGTAGATGCATTTAGGAATCTTTAAGATTCCTTACAACAGAACAGCAATGCATTTTATGGACGACCGTTTCGTGAACCTAGGAGAGGAGGTAATTCTGACTTTGCTATGACAAACTGGTGCTTCTGAATCAGCTACTGTTTAGTTATTAGTTTAAGTATTTGCTATGCGCGAGCGAGAGGGAGGGGGTCACATCACAGTGGAGTCAGCTGTCTTAACCGTGGCTTGTGTACTGCAAACACATACCAGCTTCATCACTGTGTCTGTCACGCGACTGTTTCCCCTTTGGGCTTGAATTGATGGTAAAACTAATGACATTATTTACTGTCTTTACATTTATTTTGAAAGATGAAGCTCGCGATTATGGTAAGGGGCGTTACATTTCCGACGAGTGTTTGCGGTGTTCGGCCAACTGCGGTTGGTCAGCTGGCCAATCAGAGCAGACTGCGCTTGTCGGAAGGAGGGACTTTGTAGAAAACGAAGCGTTTGAGAGAGGCGGAGCATAGAGGACCTACAATAATGTACAGTATTTGAAAAATGTTTTTTGAACATTAAAGCATGTCAACATTCTGTTACATCAAATAATGATCTTTAAAAAAAGCATCATATGACCCCTTTAACATGCCACCAATAGAAGGCGACAACCAACAGGGGCCATTACAGTTTCCATTAAAACCAATACAATTCCCATTATAACCATTAAAACCATAACTTTTTTTTCCAGCAGGAATGTTCAATAATTTACCAAACTTTACATTTCTCTCACCCAAACATATGGTTGACAGCAGATGATGAATCTGTTGGAGGCGCAACCAGGGTTAAGATTACCTGGATCATTTACATATTTAACAACTTATTTGTTTTTTTTTATTCAGTAAGACTGGCAAAACTTCTATGACATCAAAGTCTGCTCCTGACAAATGACACGGACATTCTTAGGCCATGTTTTTTCCTCAGCTTTATTTCAACAGGTGTGGACAGGCTTTAGTTAAGCATGGAATGGTGACAATGACAGTCCTCTCTCTCAATGTGAGGAAGTTATGCTCCTCTAAAGACATGTTCACTGACACCTGCTGGCAGACAGTAGGCAATTAAAGACAAGTATTAGTCTAAGAAAACATCCTCAGCCATATTCACATGTGAGGACATTCCATCAAGTAATGATTAGTCAGAGACTTCATTTGAATCCTATGTTTGCCTGAAATTATGTACTATATTACAAACTAAAAATAGATTAATAACTATCACTACCATATCTATGTACTTGTAAATATGTTCCCTTTTTTTTTTTTTTACAAATCCCGTACCGACACGTTAATCAGAAAATGTAAGGCAGAACAACGAAAAAACGTTCACAACTGTCCATCTAATCTACACTCCATTTATGAAAAAGTTAGCTCTTCTGCAGATCTGAAATGCAGTCTATTCTCTGGAGAATAAACAAACGTACAAACAGGAAGATCTAACAATATGACACTGAACAAGCTGTGGATGAACTGTTATCAGTGCCAGCCTGCATGGCTAGGCTGGCTGCAAACATCACTGAACATGACTGGTAATGAAATGACTAGTTACCACATTTCTGCAGCAATACTATATAGTATAAGACAACCGTTCCAGAACCCTTGGTTACGGTCCTGTCATCCAAAGAGCAGACGCATTGTTTAAAAACAGAAGAAAATGAACCAATACAGAAAGCAATTTTGCAGCTTTACATGCAAATTTAGCCAGCGTTTATATTGGAGGTCTGTCCCAAAAAAGCAGCATGCACTGAACTTGATTTTAGCTAAGTGATGAAAATCTTAGATTAAGTTCATACACTATTAAAATGCACCATCAAAGGCTGTCTTTGACACAACGCTGCCCTATAAAAGCAGTCCGTAGGCAGCATAAGGACAAGGTCTGCTTTCAACCAGATCACAAACATAATGCAAGCAGCATAGCCGTGCCGTCCTGTAATGGGAAAATGACAGAAAAGCCAGCATTCACAATGCGGTGCGAGGATTATTGCAGGACGACAACTCCAAACTTGAAAAAAAAATCCCATGGTCCATCTTTAGAACAAACAATAAAAGGCAATTGACCTACCGGTTTCCCAAAGGAGGATGTGTTACGACTGAAGGAGCCATGCTGATTTATTAATAGCAGAGCATCTGTTGGCACTTTTGGACCTTTCGTTCACAAACTTACCGGAGGGTAATGAAGTCCAACAAACCCCCTGAGAGAACTTAAAGACAATGGCTGTTCCCTAAAAGGGTCACGACCAGGACAAAAGACAAAAACATCTAAAGCTAAAAGTTTTTACAGTTCAGCTCACACTCAGACGCTTTCTGCTCCGAGTGATTATTCACAGTGCATAACATGGGATAGCGAATGAGAGGAAAAACCAACAACAAAACATTGAACATGTTGCCTGACGCAGTAGTTAAGACATTTTCCAGGGACATGCTTTTCGCTTACCGTCTCAAGTGCTACGCTTTACCTACATACAGGTTCTGATGGCCACTTCTAGCTCTCAGTGCACATCCAACCAAATGTGCAATGCTACCTAGGTACATAATAAAATAAAGATGGAATGCAATACTTTCCTTCATCTCACTCTTTTCTGAGCGAAGACGACTTTCGGCACCGCACAAAAGTGATACGATGGAGCTTGCTTGAATGCAGAGGAATGATATCCGATGGGGGAATGGCTGTTAATAAGGTGCAGGCTTCGTGTCTTTAGATGTGCATGTGAGATTGTCTGTTTATGAGCGTATGGGTCTGTGTGAAGAACCCTCGTCGCCGATGCAGCCCGAGTGACTGGTCACAGTGTTTACCTCCCAACAGGCGGCAAAGGAGGGGCTCCTCTCATTACTGCCAAACAAACAGAGACACGTATGAGTCCAAGCTCTCAAAAAAATCACTGTTGATATCGTACCAGTAGCAAATCTTAGCCATCAGACAAAAGCATTCTGCAGAGTCGTGTGATAAAGCTATTAGGGGTATGAATCTAATAGCTAGAAAATATTAGGGCACTGGTTTCACGATTCAATTCGATTACTATTATCATGTCAACGATTCAATTCAATTCGATATCACGATGCATCACGACTATATCAAATTTATTTTGTGCATTTTTATACAATTATATAAGCAGGCTACTTATTAATTAATTATTGTTAAGCATTAAAGTAAATATAGCTTTAAAGCATACAAGCAAATATAAAGTAATAAAGGGGGGAAAAGACAATTACAAGGGATAAACAAAAAACACTTTCAGTATAAGAGTGCTTTAAGCATACGAAAGTTTACAGACAAACATAGTTATGGGTTTTTCAGCATTATTGCGGTTTGATTATTACTGATGAGTTCATAGACTTCATAGCTTTAATAGGCTGCATTCACACTAATGCACAGATCCGTTTCCACATATGATGTTTTGTACTGTTCTGAATACATAACTGACTGTTAACACATTCATTTCGAATCAAAAGTATTCGGAGATGCAAGTGCATTTAAGCCGCAAGCTTCAGGACAAACAAATACAAAGCGCACGCGAAAGTCAGTACGTGAGTTTCGGGCATCTAATACGTACTGCATTCCAAACGTCAGAAATTAAAGCATATCTAAAGTAAAAGACTAAAATAACAGCGAGTGGAAGCACAAGCAATACGCACGTGTCTCACAGCGCATATTCTGTGCAAAGAAGCCGCCGCGATTGTCTCTACCGCGCACACGTGCCATATGCGGGGAAAAAGCCAAAAATAGAGTGCATTTTTAATACTCGCGTGACAAGCACGTATGCGAATGACGTCAACAGGCTATAATCGATTATGGTCTATTACTGCCTCGATGCAGAATTGTCCACGTCCGTATCGCGATGCATCGATTAATTTCGACACCCCTAAAAGCTACTGAAGATGAAAAGCATGCAGCAGCTCTGTCTTTACACAAGCTCATGAAAGCATACAAGTGATCAACGGAGGCTTTGTGAGATGCATCACATGTATTTGTTGAAGCTTGTGTTTCTGAACAAAACTGCTAGATTGAACAGTTCATTTCTTGGGACTTACCTCTGTTAGCTTTGCTTGGGTATATCTTCGTGAAGTGTCTATACTCTTCTGGAGGAGGGAAGTCATCCAGAGGATGAAAAGAATACTTGGACTCAAAATCATCTGTTGGAAGAGACAAATAAAAAAAAAATTTTTTTTAATTGTATAGCTTTTTTTTTTTTTTTTTTTTTACAGAAAACGATCATGTATACTACCATGCGAAGTTTGGGGTCTGTATGATTTTTTTTTTTTTTTAAGAAATACTATTATTCCGCAAGGACACGTTAAATTGATCAAAAGTGATAGCAAAGACGTTAAACATGATGTTTGAAATGAATTCTGAACTAAATCTATCACAGCTTCCACAAAAAATATCAAACAGCATGACTGTTTTCAACATTGATAATAAATGTTTCTTGAGCAGCAAATCAGCATATTAGAATGATTTCTGAAGGATCATGTAACACTCAAGGTTTAAATTAAAATAAGTTCACAATATTACAGTTTTTACTGTATTTTTGACCAAATGCATGCAGCGTTAGAAAGCAGTTTTGTTGGTCACTCTGGATAAGAATGTCTGCTAAATGTGTAAAAATTTATAAAATGCCAATATTTGGCAACAAAACCAATACAGAGATTGTATTAAAGTTTCAAAATGGCTTGACAAACCACAATTACATTATCGATGATCTTAGAAAGAGTGAGCACATGCCTAATAATGCCACTGGATTGTCTAAAAAGCCATTAAGTCTAATTATTTGATGCAATTATCTTGTTAGCATCGTCATACACTGAATATGCAATGGCTCAGTAACAGCTGCAACTGCGGATGCCTGTGAACTCATTAAATTAGTAACTTGTTTTTATATGAGCCATTGTGAGAGTGTTTCTGTAATTCACATGACTGAATCATCTCTTGCCCTATGAGATGAGTGCTGCGCCAACGTTTCAATTTAGAAAAAACATCACCCTCTCTATATGAACGGAGGATGTGAGGGCAGGTGCAGGGTGAGAGTGAGCTTGAAGGACTCACCTACAAAGGAACGGGAAATGGAAGTGTGTCCATTGCGGATGGGTGGGGGAGGGGGCGGGGGTCCAGCTGGTGTGCGGGAGGGGGGAGGAGGGGGCTTGCCTCGGCTCGGGATATCCGAGGTAGTGCCATGAGTCCGGTAAGGAGGTGGAGGCGGCGGAGCAGCATCCCGGCCATTTCGTGATGGCTGCCCAGGAACTGGAGGAGCTAGTAAAAGAAAGAAGTCATGTTGAAACAACCAGCAAAGAACTAAAAGACAAACATCAAAAGACAAATCATTTAAAATTATATTTCTCATGCACCATAGTTCAACTCCATATGACAGCTTTGTGTGAGGTTTAATCTGGGGTTGACATGCCCCATCCAACTTTTTTTATGTTATGATGAAGTTATGTGAATAAAGGTTTAAATTTCGATCTATTCCTCAAACAAATATGATCATGACTCAGAATAAAGGGCCTTAAATCTTAAACTATATCTATAGTGATTTTGTGGTGTCCTTTAAGGAAACTGAGAGATGTGGTTACAATGACAGATGTATGAAAAAGAGAAGCTTCAAAATTCTACTTAAACAGAAATTAAATATTCTTGAAAAAATGTATCTAGAAAAACACTAAGGTTTAAAAGTTTTGGGTCAGTAAGATGTCTTTTTTTAATTGAATTATATGTATATGTACTTATATATATATATATATATATATATATACATATTATAGCTACAAAAGATTTATATTTAAAAGAAATGCTGTTCTGTTGAAATGCTACTCTGTTTATTAAAGAATCCTGAACAATATATGGATCAAGGTTTTTACGGATAATATTTTTTAAACCATTTTTAACATTAATAGTAAGAGCAGCAAATCAGCATTCTAGAATGATTTCTAAAAGATCATGTGACACTGAAGACTGGAATAATGATGTTGAAAATTCAGCTTTATAATCACAGGAATAAATTAAATGTTAAACTATACTAAAGTAGAAAACAGTTCATTTAAAGTTGTAATAATATTTCACAATATCACTGTTTTTGATCAAATAAATGCAGCCTTAGTGAGCAGAACAGATTTTTTCAAAAACAAACATCCAAACTTTTGTGAAGTAGTGTTTGTTTAAAACAAAAATAATTCATTTTAGTAAATTAGATAAATGTCACAGACAATAGAGCTCACCTGCTCCTCGTCCCGGGGGCTCTCGTGCTGGAGGAGGGGGTCTGGCGGCCTGTGGGGTGGGTGACGGTGGTGGAGGCGGCGCATGTCCACGTGTCGGTGTGTGTCCACCCGCTGAAGGCTTCTTACTGAGTGAGTTGTGTCTCTGGGGCAGTTCGGGGGCTGCCTCATTCACAGGACTGGAGGGGCCATTGGAAACCCCAGACTGCTGACGGTAAGGGGGCGGTGGCGGGGCCAGGGAGGAAGAAGAGGATGAAGACGAGCGGCTGCTTGCAGGTGATGGAGGAGGTTTCACTGGTGGAGGTGGTGCGTTTTCACGCACCGGCGCTGGAGAAGGTCCTCGCTGCCCTGGAGTTGGCGGAAGTGGCTTTTCGCGATTGTACAAGGGCGCTGTGGCTTTCTGCGGCGGGGCAGGAGGAGCATTTCCACGCCGAGACATGGGGGGTGGTGGAGGTGGGGCAGAAGAGCTGTGCTTCATGCCTGTAGACGGGCTGCTGCCTCCACCGGGGGAACGTGAGAGATCAGGTAGGGATGGTCTCTGGAAACGGCCAGACTCTGGAGGAGAGGCCTGCTGAGAGGGACTGTCGGGGTCATCGTGGCTGCCGGGTGGGCGAGGTGCAGCAGAACGAGTGCCAGAAGGGTGCAACACAGACCTGCCCGCAGAACCATCTGCAACACAACCGGTTCAGTAGAAGAATCAACCATAATTACAAGGTGAGAGTTTAGTTTGAGGAAACTCCCTTTGCATATCCGAGAAACACTGGCACAATAATCAAATATCAATCATATTTTAAGACAATGATCACTGAATAAGCACATATTTTTGAAAACAAACAAACAAAAAAAACAAAGGAAATCTACACATTCTTAAAAGGTTCTTTTTTGGCATCTATGGTTCAATGAAGAACCTTTAACATCCATGGTATCTTTCCATTCCACAAAAGGTTCTTTATAGACTGCTTCAACGGCAACAACATAAACATTACTGTGCATGCACAAAATAGAAAGAAATCGAGTTTTCCCCAGTAACGGCTGTACAAAAAGCAGTGCTAAGCTCACAAACGCTGCTTTATCAAGCATTACATGCAAGATGAAATTAAAATGACATTGAAAATGTTCTGAAGACAGTTGGTTTCCTTCAGAGATACAGTGAAATAAAAACACATGTGCCGCATTATGATTTTGAAACGTGCAGTTCTCATGTTTATTCAGCGAAGTCAAAGCCTTTCGGAAAATCTATTTGTTGCGGTCAGTTTTGATATTGTGGCATGCCACCACAAATAATGGTGTACGGTTGGATGTATGGGAAACATTGCATCCCACAGCACAACAACCTGAGCCCAACTTCAGTCTACTCTTTACCCTAACTTTAACTGCATTTGTAGTCGGCGCCACTAGCCAGACTGATAAACAAACACAAACTGGAAGTTAACTTTGGGCCAGGCGTGTGTGCCCGATGAAACAGTCTATAGTGGAAAAAGGATCTTTACATTTTTTAAATGTTTCTCGCTAAGAAAAAAATGGTTCTTCTAAGAACTGTTCACAGAAAGATTCCTTGGGGAACCAAAAATAGTTCTTCTATGGCACTGCTGCAAAAACACCTTTTTGGAACCTTTATTTTCAAGAGTGTAGCTTGTCTGTTATCACTGGTGTAAACTGATGTGAATATTTTTCAAATTCTCATTTGAGCACCAACAATAGCATACTGGGCACAACAGAGGGTGTTAAAACGATTCAATTTTTGGATGAACTATTCCTTTAAATAGGCCCAAAGCAAAAAATTTTAACAATCATCACACCTCCTACAGGTCGTAATTTTGGGACGCCACCCTGAAACAGCCCTCCCACTGGCTGGACCGGTGAAGAAGACCCTTCACTGCTGGACACGCCTCCGCCACTTCCTTTCGGCTCTGAAAGACCACAAAAGAATTCAGTGATGTCCCACGTTTGCTGACCTTTGAAATTCATGCTATCCTCAGGTGTCTTCCACTTACTCTCAATCATAGGTGCACTCCTGTCACTGACAACGCCAACTTTCTTCAGCTTGGACCCTTTGCAGATATCAGAGAGCAATGCCCCTCTGCCCTTCGCTTCATCTCGGTTCAGCTTGGGAGGGGTTGTGTTTGCCTGTGGAAAAACCGAGCGTTTCTTTTCGTTCAGGTCAAGTTTTCACAGAGGCAGTTGAAGTTTGCATTGAGCATGCTGTGAATATTTTTGAGGTAAGGTTTTGCAGTTCCTACTAAAGTTACCTGCCAAATAGAGAGTACTTACCTGGCTAAGGGTGGGGGGAGGAGGGGGAGGGGGAGGAATGGGCATCTTGGATCTCCGTCCGGTGTTTACAGCTGAGAGTATGTGACAATTAAAACTTCATGAAGACCGTTACCTATAGAAACAGAAAATAATTGTCAATCAAACCGATATAAAATGTGTGTGTGTGTGCATATATAGGGTTAACTCGGAAGAACTAGGTCATTTTCCCCCATGAAATATGCAGTAAGAACAGTAACATTCTAAAATATTATTACACTTTAAAATAGCTGTTTTCTATTTGAATATATTTAAAATGTAATTATTCATGTGATGTTTCTGCTCAACAAACGTTTCTTAATATTATCACTGTTGAAAACAGTTGTGCGGCTTCATATTTTTGTGGAAACTGATATATGTTTTGCTCTTCCTGATGCAAAGAAAGTTCAAAAGAAAAGCATTTATTTGAAACGGCAATCTTTTGTAACAATATAAATGCCTTTACAGTCACTTTTGATAAATGTAATGCATCCTTGCTGAATAAAAGTATTAATTTCCACAAAAAAAACTTATAAAACTGTGGTATATATATACGGAACATTTATTCGATTTCCTAAATCTGACATTCAGAAATCAGTGATTCACAAGTACTTCACGATTCATAACTGCTGGAAAGTGGTGCACATATATTATGCAAGTTTATGGTCCAATTAGACAACCCAAATGTTTATCATTACAAACAGGCAGACACTGATCCATCTTCTTCAGCATTTAATCATAAACCTCTTATTTAATAAGTTAACAGCCACATACTACATCTGACAGCTCATGACTTTATCTTAACGGAGTCTTATCAGTATTTCTTTCGATAGCATTTTGTTGTTTTTGAAAAACAGAATGGAAATCATATTAACTACAATTATTATTACTGTAAAATATATAAATGTATATGGGACGTCAGCATTTCTGATGCCCGTGATGGCTAGATTAAAATTAGCAGTTTATTGTAACGCTACTATAAATTAGTATAGGAACTATGTTCATTCAGATGAAACTAGATTAATTTATATAGTATGTAAACAACACGGCCTGCGGGCTACGACCATTTAACCCGTATAACGTTACGTTACTCTTTTCAGCTCATGTCGTTGACGACAAAATCATTAAATATCGCTCATCTAATGACATCGAAATGCATGCCTCGTGTTTTATTTGCATATTTATTTGATTGTGAATTAGCTCGACTTTAGCCTTAGCTTAGCTTGGCCTCGCGCTTGGCAGGTGCGTCCATCACGTCAAGACGTTTCGTGAAGAAAATGTTCCGTCGGTCAAACCTGACATAACGCGTTTATGTAATGAAGTAATACAATGTTTGTGCCTACTTTTCCCCCGCAATGTCCGATGTTTTCGCAAACCGGGTTCCCCTCATCGACATGATCTCGCGCGTCAATCGCCCTGATTTGCTGCTCCGCCGTTCAAACCGGAAATTACGTCACTGTACGGCTTGGCGTGAAAATGTTTATTATTGATTTGAAAAGAGCTAGCTTTATTAAATAAGTGCACGCAAAGCTGCGAAATTCTGAGTGCTTGGGATTATTCTGTTAGGGTTTCGATTATAACCCTGTTATTTTTTTGTTGTTGCTAAAATCGTATTATTTTTCGCTAAAATATATTATATCCATTTTTATAATTATATCTATTTTTATATTATATATGATTATATTGAACGCCAAGTTTTCTGACCTCGTGAACATGGTCGTTTTTGGTGGTAAATCACATTTACACATAATGCGGAAAAAAAATTTAATCCCTCCTTTATTTCTTAATGATTTTGTGAGAATGTTTTGTTTCAGATGCTTTAAAATCAAGCAGACAGATCATTCGTAGATAACTGAATGTAGCCATATTATCATCTTCCCAACATTATGTCACTGGAACGGATATGTGTGCATAATAACTCTGTCAAGTTCAGTTGCAGTTTTGCTTCGCCTATTAAAATATTACCACAATATCCCCAATAAAACCGATTCTCAAATGCAGATTCTAGTGCATATTTCATTCAAGCAATGCTATTTTATGATACTGAGGAAGAAAACAGCACAAGTGTCCTAAATACCAGAAATGCCAAATGCTGACACGTGGTGGCGCTATAAGATGTACTATTTTGATTTATATGATTTATTATTACAGTCATGTGTGCATTAACTGCACAGGAAACACAACACCACATTCTCTGTGTGGGCCTACTGTCAGAAGAAAATTATGTTCAACTTACTATGTGTCACAAATGCTTTCTTAGCATTTAGGCTCGACTATGAAAACCAACTTTCACAACATCAAGCTTTCTTTGAATAATAGGTTAAATGGTGTGTGTGATAAAGGGGGTCATCAAGTAAGATGTGCCAGATAGGCCTTAGGCTGGCGTGTCAGTAGATTATTTGGTAATCTTTGCAAATAATTCACTTTTTGAACTGACTTTTATATATTACAACTGCTTCAACGTGACAGCAAATGCAAGCCTGGATAAGTGGGTCATTCATTGTATGAAGATGGTATCCATAAATATCTCTCAGTGTTTCAATCTCTAACACTCTGGCCAAATGTGCTTAACAAATGATCATTCAATGAGGCAATTCAATTATGACACAAGAACTTTTTATATACAGTGCTAGTATGATTGTAAGTGCTTCACCTTGAATCAAAGGCAAGGAGCTGAGACAGTTAATATAATTCAGTTTATTTGAAAACAAACAAAAAACACTGTCAAAGTAAAATGTTCAGTAAAAATGCATATTCACTGTGATTTCCCGTTGAGATTCCGTGCATGTTTTTTTGTGTGTTTTTTTCTTGCAGGTGGGCATGTTGAAATGATTTACTCTTATGATGACAGCATCATCAGGAGTGCAATTATCACTGAATATGCAGGAAAAAAATCACAAATCTCTCCATGGCATGAACCTAACCAAATTATCCTGTTTCTCAGACTGAGCTGCCAATCAATAGGACAACTGCAACATATTTGCTTAAAAGTTAAAGGAATAGTTGACCCCAAAATAAATATTTGCTCACAAATTTACACACCCTCAGGCCATCCAAGATGTAGATGAGCTTGTTTCTTCATCAGAACAGATTTGGAGAAATTCGGCATTACATCACTTGCTCACCAATAAGTGAATGGGTGCCGTCAAAATGAGAGTCCAAACAGCTGATAAAAACATCACAATAATCCACAAGTAATCCGCATAAATACAGTCCATGTCATATCTTGTGAAGCGAAAATCTGTTTGTAAGAAACAAATCCATCAATAAGGCATTTTTAACTTTAAAAAGCTTCTGGCCAAAATCCATAATAACGCTTCCTCCAGTGACTATCCCTTGTTGTCCTCTCACATCAAAATCCCCCTAAACATTTGTTTACAACTGGTTTTGCTCGTAACCAGTGCTTGATCTGTGCATATTTCTCTCCTGATTCAGACGAGACAACTTTTTCACTGGAGAAACCAATATTATGGATCATGGATTCGTATTTTAGCTGGAAGCAGTGGACTTAAGTTAATGTCTTGATGGATTTGTTTCTTACAAACTTGCAGGATTTCACTTCACAAGACATTAATTGATTGACTGGAGTGGTGTGGATTACTAGTGTATTATTGAGATGTTTTTATCAGCTGTTTGGACTCTCATGCTGACGGCACCCATTCACACCAGAGGATCCATTGGTGAGCAAGTGATGTAGTGCTACATTTCTCAAAATCTGTTCAGATGAAGAAACAAACTCTTGCTGAGGGTGAATAAATATTCAGCCAATTTTTATTTTTGTGTGAACTAGTCCTTTAACATGACTGATACTAACACCACTGCTATAAAAGATTTGAGCATAACTGGGGCAACCGTACCAGAATAGTCTTCATGAATATAACCACTATTACTTTTGGCACATACATGTTCCTTATATACCAACAGATGGCAGGCAGATTTGTAATCATGAAGCTAAATTCTCCACTGTAGTTACAGTTAATGAATGATGCTTGACAATTACTGCAATTTCATCAATCAGCAATCACACACTCTAAAAAATGCTGGGTTAAATACAACCCAGTGCTGGGTAAAATAGGGACAAACCCAGCAATTGGGTTGTTTTGACCCAGCGGTTGGATTAAATGTTTAACCCAACCTTCTGGGTAGTAACCCAACCGCTGGGTCAAAACAACCCAATTGCTGGGTTTGTCCATATTTTACCCAGCACTGGGTTGTATTTAACCCAGCATTTTTTAGAGTGCACTTCACACCGATTGCAATGCCTTTCAAATGCAGATCCCTTGCATCATAATCAGTCATATGACCACACAATTCAGCATGTCATTTAAAACAAGATTAGCACATTTATATCTTTCTATTTACAATGATGTAAAACAATACCGTTTTTGTATAAAAAAATATTTAAAGTCTAAGGGATGTTATATAAAGAGGATATTAGAGAGTGAATACTCTGGAGTAAACAAGTAAAGGATAATGTAGTCGACCAGTCGTAATTGTACAATAATTTGACCAAACAGAATAAAGTGTTCCAGAGAGCTGTGTAATAATAATAATGGGGTTATTTTGTATTAAAAAAGTCTAGATGGAAGCTATTTAGGGGTGACTTAAAATTGCAAGGTGCAAAAGCAATCACTATAACGCTAATCATTCCTTTGTAAAACAGTACACTGTGTTCAATCTTAATGAAAAGCAATATACCATCATTCTAGAGCATAATCAAAATAACAAAACTAACTGATTATTGTGCAAAAAATAAAAATAAAAATCGAATTCAGGATAATGACATCATGCTCCTTATGAAATGTTCCCTGTTACAGTAATAGCACTGAATAGCATTTTATAGACTCATTGTATATTCGATTTCTCTAAAATATACTACAAAAGTGGCCATACATTGTACTTATTTAATTTATCAACGTTGACATGCGTGCAGATGTATGAATCCTACAATTCATTTTGGATTTACAATGTTGTTGCATGATAGCAGATCGAGTCATTCAAAAATACAGTTAATTTATAATAGAAAATAAATCGACCTATAGCCAACTGTATTTGGACACTTGTATGTGCTTGTTGAGAATTTAATTCCAAAACCACTGGCATTAATATTTTATTGGTTTATTCGGAATTTGTGTCCAAATACTTTTGTATGTTATAGCTGTGAGTAATGTTTACAGATCTGTCATCCATCAATGCCTGCTAAAATGTCTTTACATGAAATCATACGCCACAAACCTTCTCTTCCAACTGAATATCAGTTTGTCTCTTAAACACAATAAAGAAATCAAGCACAAACACAAGAAATCCTGCCCTTGGCCTGTTAGAAGAGGTTTTCAGTACCAGAACATATCAATGTCAACAAATGTCATCTTATAATAGTGAGATTATGAAAATACAAATGAGTTTCTGTTTTTAGATGTAGGTTTTGTTGTTGCTTTTGTTTATTTTCTACTCAGTAGCAATGCCTCAGAGCCACAAATACACAGAACGCAAAGGAAAACGAACCCTCGTGTGGCTGAGCCGCTAGCTAGCTATGCTACATTTCTAGGACAGAGTTGTCTGGACATCTTTGGACAAACAATATAAAGTACACAATATACATGTTATGATCACATGCTTATCGCGTCACCACACTTTTAGGCTTTGTCACTCTGTTAGTAGCACAAGATAACAAGATGAGTTAGGCAGTGCTTAGAGTTCACGTCACAAACAGACCGGTGGTGAACTAAAGCAAGTCGTGTGTTTTGTTCTTCTTTCATTCGAGCACTGCACCGTTCAAGCCCTGCTCCGTGTTTTTTTTGCAGGGAACAAACTGGTTTGTAGTCTCCATCTTCATCATCCACTTCATTTGACCTGAAGACTGAGAGGAACATCTTTGTTGGGATTTTTTAAAATTTTATTCAGGAATCACATGTTCAGAAAATAAACATCTTAAGAACGAGATAATCCACCACTAGAGACTCTGAATTGGACGTTGGGGAAGCGTGTGCAAGCTAACCTGCTGGCAGTGTTGTTAAAGAGGATTTGGGTACACCTGTCGAGGGTCATAGGTCATTTCTGGCATGTATTGCTCATGTAGCTCAGCGTCCAGCGGGAGGCCATCCATGGGTAAATCAGAGTAACCATATGGAGGGTAAACTGCATCCAGATCTTACATCGAGAGAGAGAGAGAGAGAGAGAGAGACGGAGAGAGAGAGAGAGAGAGAGAGAGAGAGAGAGAGAGAGAGAGAGAGGGAGAGAGAGAGAGAGAGAGAGAGAGAGAGAGAGAGAGAGGGAGGGACGGAGAGAGAGAGAGAGAGAGAGAGAGGAGAGAGAGAGAGACGGATAGAGAGAGAGAGAGAGACAGCGAGAGAGAGAGAGAGGGAGGGAGAGAGACGGCTAGAGAGAGAGAGAGAGACAGCTAGAGAGAGAGAGAGGGAGGGAGAGAGACGGCTAGAGAGAGAGAGAGAGAGAGGGAGAGAGA